GTTCTGGAGTTAAAATTATTTTGCTTTGCAAAGCCCGGATCGATCACGTACATTATGTTATCGATGGTTAGTGATGTCTCGGCGATGTTGGTGGCCAGTACGACTTTCCGGGCGTTCGGTGGAGTTGGATCGAAAATTTTCGCCTGCATGTCCGACGGCAGATTGGCATAAATGGGAAGGATGAGTAGTTCCTTGAGTTTGGAACCCAACCGCTTGACGCGATCCTGGAGCATCTCCTGGCAGGCTTCGATTTCCTCTTGTCCTGGAACGAAAAAAAAATGTAATTTTTTAACATCGCATAGAAATAGACCCACTTACCAGTTAAAAATACAAGAATGTCTCCAAGAGGCTGAGTGGCATGAATCTGTAGAACCGACACCACACATGCATCGATATAATCTGCTTCCGGTGCTTTGGTGTAGAAGACATCAACCTAGAAGAGAAAAAGTTAGATTTTACAGCAAAACACAAAGCAAGTCAAATCTAACTACGTACCGGAAAACGACGACCAGGAATACGGAATATGTTCGCATCATCGAAGAAATCCGAAAACTTTTCCGCATCCAACGTGGCACTGGAAATCAGTAGTTTCAAATCCAACCGAAACCGCGCAATGTCCTTCACCAATCCAAACAGAATGTCCGTGTGCAACGTACGCTCGTGAGCTTCATCGATAATCATCACACTATACGAAGCTAGGTCCGGTTCCGAAAGAAACTCCCTGTGCAACGTACCATCTGTCATGTATTTAATGACAGTCCGCTCGGATGTGCAATCCTCGAAACGAATACTATAACCAACTTCGTTGCCCAACTTGACGCCCATTTCCTGTGCAACACGTGCCGCCACGGACATCGCTGCCACGCGACGAGGCTGAGTACATCCAATCTTCTTGCCGTCGTTTGTAAACCCAGCTTCATAGAGATACTGTGGAATCTGTGTCGTTTTTCCCGAACCCGTTTCTCCTTCGATAATAAGAATCTGGTGTTCTTTTATAGCGGCTATGAGATCCTCCTTGAATGGAAAAACTGGAAGTGATTTCTTCGTTTCCTCAATGTCCATCTTCTTCCTTTCCGCCTCAGATACCGGTGCTTTCCGGTCCTTTTCTTTAGTTCCATCCAGTCGGAGTGCCTGGACGAAATCAATCTGATCATCCAACAGCAGTTCATACTCTTCAGCACCAGCACCACTTGCGAACCTCTTCGTTTTTGAAAGTAAATTTCACGCACAGTCTGACGTTTGCTTACGGATTTTACCATAGGAGTAAAGAGCTATAGATTCGCCGTCAAGGCCAATAGCATCAACTATATACTTTAAGCTAGTACATATGAGTAGATAGTGTTGCCGTGAGGTACACTCGAAAATTTCAAACGTAAGTGCGTCAAATCAAATTTTGAGCCGCTCCGTCTGTCACTTCGTTTGTGGTATAAGGCTGATGCTTTGGCAAAAATGTATAAGTGAAACACATGAATAAAATAATTGATTTTCGTTTCGTGTACTTGACTAGCCTATTGGTCCCAAGCAAATCGATTAACGTACCCCATTCTAGTCAAAATTCTAGTACTACAAAATGTTTGTTTTGATTATCTATGAAATTTTGACAGGTAAAATGAGGGGTTATTGGATTTTCCTATGTTTCGAGAGGTGAATCGACTAGCTTGGGACCAAAGATAGTACCAGAGCTGAGCCAAAAAGTTGAGCACGTTTCTTCGGGACCTACTAGTCTTAGAGTTACCTCTATGTTATAACTCTGTAGTCTGAACGTACTATAATCATAGAGGTAACTCTAAGACCAGAAGGTCCCGAAGAAACGGGCTCAACTTTTTGGCTCAGCTCTGGTACTATCTTCGGTCCCAAGCTAATCGATTCACCCCTCGAAACATAGGAAAACCCACTAATCCCTCATTTTATCTGTCAAACATTCATAGCGAACCAAAACAAACATAGTGTAGTACTAGAATTTCGAATAGAATGGGGTACTTTAATCGATTTGCTTGGGACTAATAGGCTAGTCAAGTAGTGAGCCAATTTAAAATCGTTAGTTGCCACCGGTTATTATAGCATGGTACACACAAAAAATAATCGTGAATACATTTAAAAAAAAACCATTGGTAAAATTCAAAGTTAGCGTTGGTTCTTTTTGGTAGAAAGTAATAAGCGTTCAAAACTAAAGTCCCCTAACTGTCAATTCAAAAGTAGCTCTCTTTCTTCTTTTAAAAGTTGAAACTTTCAAATCGAATTGTAGAACTGTCGAACTGAAAACCTATAGTTTTTAAATTGACGTATAACAAATTTTAATTCAAATGATAAGCATTTAAATCGCAATTACATATTTTTTATCTAAAATGTGAATAATTTTTAAATCAATTACTCTTATTTTTTAAAGAAATACCCAGGAAAATGCCTTATATTCTTGGTTGGAAATGCTAACATGAAGCTTTTAGCACAAACGAAGTGACAGACGGAGCGGCTCGAAAACTTTGGTGACTAACCTGCTATTTCAATTTTCAGTGTACCACATGGCAACACCACTACTACTGGATTGTACCACATGGCAACACTACTACTGGATTGAACTAGCATTTTCACCAAATGTATTAGAATGTTTTGTTTCTATCTCTTTCACTCTACTCAAAACTGAAATGCATAAAAAGATGACAAAATGACACACTATCTTTGCACACTGTCAAAGAATCATTATACACAAAATCAACTTTGTTCAAATCAAAACAAAAAAACTAACCCATCTGGATGATGATGGCACAAACTTCCAAGAAAATTCTATTACAGTTAACCACATTATTTTAATGGATTCCTTCGCCAGTTAGTCGTCTGTCACTTCGTTTGTGCTTTTAGTGTGATGATTTATTAGCTAGAGAATGATCTTTAGAAGAGGGTAGGTGGATAGTTCCGTTAGAGTACGGCAGTATGAAAATTGATTAGAAGTTGAAAATGAGCGAAGGGCCATTAATGCGACAGTTTTTAGAGATAGACGCACATTTTTGCCTAACCCGTACGATGTACGCGAGGACTCTAAAGATCGACCGATCGACAGCACAGCACGCAGAAAAAAACATAGTTCATCCAAATAAAGCACGATTCATTTCAAACAAAATTTTGAATAGAATATAGATCAATAAAATCCATAGAGTAATTCAATAAAAATATAGAATTGAAGTAATGCCAGCAGCTTTATTGAATTAAACGTCAACTTTTATTGATTCAAAAAAATGTTTGCTTGAATCAACCTGAAGCATTTTTTTAAAGCAACGAACAATTTTAGTTGTATCGAATCATATTTGTTCATTATATCAAAATCAAATTTATTTAAATTAATAAATATTATTTTCATTATTTATTCTAATTCAATTCAGGTTTATAGCAAATTGCTAACAATACACTGTCTCGCATAAAAAGCATTGTTTTGACTCGGAACCAAATTCAATCATTATTACGAATATAAAAACGTTAACGAACAAATGCAATCCATGAAAACAGTAAACCGAAGTAAAACAACAGATCAACTATTTATATGTACTTCCGCCCTCCGTCAATAGTTAATAACCTCTTAAGTATACTCGATTGTTTTGTTTTGCGGTAATTACTCCAACAAGTCGTCTGGTATTTGATCCGGTTTAGCTTATAATTGCGTGTCTACTGCAATTTGTTCCGTCACCGCTGAAATTTTAATTACATTAATTAATTTGAACGATTCAACACAATTTATAAAATTATAACTTACATTTTAAGAGTAAATAACGGAGGCATAGACAGGAGGAACTTCTTATCGTTTGCCAAACTATGCCGATACAGACTGACTGTTTGAAACGTGCACTTAAAAAAATATTCAGTTAAAACAATCAAAGTAACCATTTGGATTGAATAAAATATATAATTGTTACAAACCAAATTTCGTTTATTTAAATCAATCGCATTAATGATGCATTCAATAAAATTTATAGATTTGATGTGAATGGAGTGCTATATTAATTTATAACTTCTTCATGAACTGAAACAAACCGAGACATTGTATTGAAAAATAACAAAATATTTTATTAATTCACTACAGAGCGTTTTTTCTGCGTGAGGGATTTTCGAACATAGAAAATAACTTTCGAATGTCACTTTTAATCACGAGTTAAATTTAACTCGGCAAATGGATCGCAGCCTTAACTGGAACTGATGATGACTGAAAACCGTCTCCGCATGCAAGTCCCGGATTTCGTTGACTGAATAGCTTTACTCAGTTTGACATTTCTCGTTTACTCAGATTTTGACAACCTACACCGAAAATATTTTTCATGTAGCTTCCATTAAAATCGCAAATGATTTTCATCCATAAACAAAATTAATGGAATTCATCTGAATTTCACATAACATTTATGCGATCACGTTAATTTTATTTGATTTTTCATATGAATTTCATCGGCCTTATAATATTCATGTGATTTTGTGATGAGATTTTTAGCTATGTGATCACATAAAAGCTATGTGAAATTCACATGGTTTTCATCCATTAGATATGTGATAAATTGTTTGAATGTAATGCATCTGACAAAATTGAGTACGATCGGCTCACCCTGTGAGTAAGCTGAAGTAAGCGTGTACTTTGTAGTCATTATTGGGTATTTTTCGGTACCCATACCGGTTGCGTGAAATTGAAAATACCCAAAAATGAGTACTGCAGATTTACCATATTTTCAAGAAGAGAAAGAAAATAGAACAACTCAAGCTGAACATTGCATTAGGTCCTAAGTAACATTGATAGATTCTCTTCGTCGACTTTCTCTTTGCATTCCCATGGCTATGTAAAGACATTCCCAGCTATTTTCAGCACACAGATCGATAAAAGAAGCTTTTATGTAGCATCTATTATGAAAAACATATCAAGAAACGATTCTGTGCTCAAGTTATTAACGAAAGAGAAAGTCGACGAAGACAATCGATCAATGTTACTTAGGACCTAATGCAATGTTCAGCTTGTAGCTGTCTGCTGGTGAGCACTGCAAGTCATTATTGTCATCATCGTTCGCTTTTCCGCACTTCGTTGTTAAAATCATCATAAATTTGGAAATAATGGCTGATATTGAGTTATTTGTTTCTGAAAAGGTATGTAACTGGTACAGGCAATTCATTAATCTTCTATTAAACTAGCAATTCATTGGAATTAATATTTCTTTATAAAGCTATTTTGTCTACCAAACATTTGTCTAAAACCTTGCGGTTATAGTATAGAATTCAGAGAATATTAGAATAAGCATTTCACACGTTCAAAGGACTCAACAAAGAAAAAATGATTGGTAGGCATCTCTTATTTTCCTCCGTAAGGATCTAGTTGTTTTTTCAAACAACATCTCAAACTGATTTCTCGCAGATCAAATCGCGTCCACGATAAACACACCGTCTTCCAAATGGTGCAGTTGGTTTGTGCGTTTTAGTTTTAGTAGTCTTGATTCATTTAATTGTAATGAAATCCTGCTGTAAGTTAAATCATAATATTACAGTCGGGAATCCTTATTCCCGGATTGTTTATAGTCAGTATTCTTTATCCGGATACCTAGATACTTGAGCTTCGGCAGGTAGAATGCTGACCGGATATGCTATCCTTTTCAGCAAACTAATGGTGTCCAAGTATCCGGAAAAATAAATACGGACGAAAAAACTATCCGGGAATAAGGATTCCTCATTGTATACTGTTAGAATCCACCGAAATCAAACATTTCTTGCATTTTTTTCACAATACGAATACGTACTGTTTTTGCTGCATATTACATATTACTACTCTGAGCGTAATCTACGACCTCACACCTGAAAAGAACTCAACTGATGGTTAATAAATAATAGTGCCTTTCCCCTACATTGAAAATTTGCAATTGAATTCATGCTCCTATTTCTAATATTTGCAGGACGAATCCGATATCCGTCCAATGAAGGATACACCACTGGATGAATTGGACATGGAGGATTTGTACACGAAATATAAGGTGAGTTTTTCTAGGAGACATAACTTTTATTTCAGAAGAAATACGTTTTTTTTTGACGTAGGACTACGTCTGTGATTTCTATATGGGGGTACACTTTGTAAAAACCGAAAATGGAACATATAACAAAATTATGAAAGAATTTGAACGTTAATAACTCAGCTGCCCCTGGACCAATTTCAATAATTTTATCAAATTTAAGACATTATCATTTTTAAAAATGTCACTATTGAAAATTGCACGAATGTGCAACTGTTGCTATGATAACTAAAATTATCACCGATTGCCTGCGAAAAGCGATTCCCCTAACACAGATTTCAAAGGTGAATTCTATTCGGTCTCACCACACGGTGTTAATTCAATCACCGCGTGGTGAGTGATGGTGTTCTCCAGTACACAACGAAAGGCTCCCCGCAAGCAGCTAGCTATCAAGGCTGCCCTCAACCGCTGATCGCATTCAGTTCCAATCACCGTGTGTGGTGGTGTCCGGCCATCGGCTTCAGCAGCAGTGCTTTCGAGCGTGGCGTTGAATATTGTTCTCCAGTACACAACGAAAGGCTGCCTGCAAACAACGAGCTGCGCCCACATGAGCAGCCATAGAAGGAGGAAGTAGCCGCACCGCTATTGATCGGAATCAGTAGTTCTTCGTGAGTCGCTGTGGGGCATCTATGTCAAGCGCGTCATACTATAAAGTATAAACAGAGAGAATCACGCTCAAATTCCTATTCCTACGCAAAACACAAGCTACTGCTGCAGTTAACAAATAAGATTTATTATATAAGACCGATTCTATAACATTTTCCAGAAAACCATTCCCCCGAAAACCATTCCCCAGAATGCACCATTCCCCAGAAAAGCATTCACCAGAATGTATCATTCCCCAGAAAAGTATGCCATGATTGACTATTTTTGTTTATTATAGTAACTCCTGGAATCTTCTTTTGCGTATATAAAAAGCAGAGAAAAAACTTCTTAATGGATCAAGGGGATTTCCCTTCTTTGAAATTATAACAAAAGGAAATAATTAATTCTTTGGATAAACGATAAAGAAGGGCATATTCCCTTCTTTTAATATATAAAAGAGAACATAATTAATTCGTTAAATATATGATAGAGAAAGGAATATTCCCTTCATTGAAGATATAACAAAAGGAAATAATTAATTCTTTTGATATGCAATAAAGAAGGGAATAATATATAGGGGAATTTACGTATTCTCGGCAACCTAAGCAGCGACCTTCTTTCTATAGCCTTTTTCTCTAAGGAACGCACACATATGCAGTATTGGTTTGTTTACAATCTTTTGCTGCCAGCTGCTCTAAAAATTCCAGTCGAAAGAATTGTCAACAACTGTTTTGAAACGCTTTTACAAAGCTCCAATCTTCTCTAGTGAGAGCGAGTATTGTCGGCAACCAGTTTTTCTTCGGCAACCGTTCCATTTGAACTGCATGTAAATCTGCTGTTCTATTATCGGCAACTCGAAATCAGCTACAATTTGTAGTGCGTGTGTTGCATTTCAAGAAAACCTTGCTAGATTGCATTTTCTCAGTGGTAAAAATATAGCCAAATTGAAGCTGAAAGCATAAAGAATTATTATTATTATTTAGCTTTATTAAGGAGGCTTTCAGCCTTAGGCTGGTTCGCCTCCAAGTAAAGCATAAAGAATCGTTTGCATGCATTCAGCGAAGTGTTTTCGTAAGAAAATCCAGTGAAAATAGTGTTTCAATTTGTGTTGCCGAAAATAGTCTGTCATGCCGAAGCCGTCATTTCCCCTATAAGGAAAATATATAATCAATAGTTTTTCGCAAGGGATTCGGGGTAATGCCCATTCGGGATAATAACGTGTGGAATAATGTTATAAATTTGTAATCGGTAGTTCAACCACAGACAAACAGGCATAACACATTGAATATTTCTCACTGTAAAACATTGTCGCTAAAACATTACCGCCATCTGTTGAGTACACTGTGGTGGGCACTACACTGAACAGATGGCGGCAGTGTGTAAACGTCAAACGCAAGGGAATTGACTATGCGCGCCACAGGTGGCGGTACTACCAACTACGATACTTTTAAATTGTCCGTTAAATGCTTGTTCGATGAATAACTTACGAGTGTTATGTCTGTTTGTCTGTGGTTCAACGTTCCATGCACCGATTTTTTAATCCATCACGAGAAATTCATCAACTCAGGTCGAACAATTCTTCGATAAGGTTTAACAGTTTCCGACTGGTTGAATTGGATTGCATAATAGACCCTTTGACTTATTAAATGATGAACGAAGTCCTACGTCACCATTGTGTACAACCCTACAATGGCTGTCTCTTGTAGTTTTTTTTTGTATCAAGCTTATTACGTTCCTACATACTTGAATAATATATCCGACTTCAATAAGCTGCCGTTATACGCATAAAAAAAAATATCTCATGGTAATTTATGCGGCGCCGGTGGTGTAGTGGTAAGCGTGATTACCTCTCACCAAAAGACCTGGGTTCAATCCCAATCGGCGTCGCCGGGATGTTCTGTGTGCGCCTCCCTGGAGGCGGTAGCATAGGTGCTCAGCACGGAAAACAAGATCGACGGAAAACAAATCAAGGAAAAAAATGTGTAACGGCAAATTGGTAATGTTAAAAAGGATTACTCAGCAATTTATCTATATACATATACAAGACCTGTTCATTTTAAACAAAATGTTCGGAATGTAACGGGTCAACCGTGATTACTGTTCGTCATGTTAATTTGAACTTTTGTGCAAATTTTCAGCAAAATCGGTGTTAATTTAGAGGTGCTTCTAGTTAATTTTATGTTTTCAAGGTAATTTACGGCTTATAATATTTGTATCTCGAGACTGAAACAACGAAAGCTGCTGTAACAGCTTTCATAGCAAAGCTTAATGTGTTATCTACCAACTTTGTGGCCAAAGGTTGACTATTCGAAGTGATTTTATTGAATTTTGACTTAGTTTCATGCTCGAAGATATCTTAAAATGTGAAGAATTTTAAAGTATTTGTTCTACGAATTTTCCACCCATATGATATAAAAATGTGTAGTGTACGGCATCATGTTCCTCATATTGTTCTAGAAGTTTCGTTCCAACATAGTTTTCGTGTATATTTCATAGATTGAGAGATAAAAATCAGAAAAGAGGCCGTTTTAGCTAAAATTCACAAGACAACAGAACCAATAAAATTAGATTGACAGAACATAGTTGCATTGCTTTTCAATGACGACCGATGACTGTTTCATTGATATATGATTTTTTCATAAATATGAATCCTCAGTAGACGTGTTTTTTATCAAAGGCAAGTGTCACTCGAACCATAACAGCAATTTATAAAATAACGAACATTTGAATGGCTCGAGTGACACTTGCCTTTGATAAAAAAAACACGTCTACTGAGGATTCATATTAATGAAAAAATCATATATCAATGAAACAGTCATCGGTCGTCATTGAAAAGCAATGCAACTATGTTCTGTCAATCTAATTGACTTTTATTGGTTCTGTTGTCTTGTGAATTTTAGCTAAAACGGCCTCTTTTCTGATTTTTATCTCTCAATCTATGAAATATACACGAAAACTATGTTGGAACGAAACTTCTAGAACAATATGAGGAACATGATGCCGTACACTACACATTTTTATATCATATAGGTGGAAAATTCGTAGAACAAATACTTTAAAATTCTTCACATTTTAAGATATCTTCGAGCATGAAACTAAGTCAAAATTCAATAAAATCACTTCGAATAGTCAACCTTTGGTTACAAAGTTGATACATAACACATTAAACTTTGCTATGAAAGTTATTACAGCAGCTTTCGTTGTTTCAGTCTCGAGATACAAATATTGTAAGCCGTAAATTACCTTAAAAACATAAAATTAACTTGAAGCACCTCTAAATCATCACCGATTTTGCTGAAAATTTGCACAGAAGTTCAAATTAACATGACGAACAGTAATCACGGTTGACCCGTTACATTCCGAACATTTCGTTTAAAATGAACAGGTCTAATATACAGGTAATCATATATGATCTTTCGACCAGCACACTCATCTGCTCCCTTACCTTTGAAAGGAAATAAGGGATGGTCCATTAATTATGTTTATGTCACGCAAATTTGGCCCATTTTCAACCCCTCCCCCCTCCCCCCTTTGTCACATTTTTTGTATGGACCTTAATTTTTTTTGTATGGCTCGTCACAGTTTTCAAAACCCCCCCTGCCCCCTAAATGTGTGACATAACACTAGTTTACAGCATTTTTGAACTCGGTAAGGTGATGATCATTTCCAATGCAAAATCCTACGCTGAATTCAATGCCGTGGTCAGAAAAAAATTAAGTAGAGCCATTTTTGAGATATACAAAAATTTTGATTTTTTGAATTTCGGACAAAAGTACGATTACTAAAATGTCAATATCTTTGGAACTAGTGCACCAATTTAAATCTTTTTTTTTATGAAGGTGAAGCTAAATAAATTTGCTATCGTTCACTAGAATATTATGTCTTAATTAAAAATTTAATTGTGAAGTCTTCTAAAAATTTACAGCATTTTTTTTTATTTTTCCTGCGAATTTTCCATAAAAATCTTGTTTTAATCAACATTTTTAATGGGATAAAAAGATTCAAAAAATCATTTCATAATTTATTCTTAAAGTCCATTCAAAACCGGAGAAAATGAGCCTTTAATGGATGAAATCGGTTGGAAATTGTCGAAGTTATGAGCATTTTTGTAAAACACTTAAAAATGTTGCTGAAATACAACAGCTTTAGAGTTCCTTTTCTAGGTGTCGTTGTAAGCATCCAAATCGCATGTAAAGTTTTCATGGGAGATTCTTTTCTCTACATATCAATTTGATTAAGGCATATCAGGATTTAAAACCGAGTTGATACAAAAGAAATTTATTTAGGTTTTATTAAAAATGAAAAACGAATGATTTTGTCTTCGATGTTTTGAACTTGTTTCTCGAATCAGAAACCAACAATAGTCACCCATCATTGCT